TCATGTTCAGACATATAGATATAAAATACACATAATAAAGATCTAAAAAAAAAACCCCCACAAAGCTCCACGAAGCCACGTATACCTACAAAGAAGCTCTGTAGACTCTCCAACCAAGACATTTCTACTTCCTGTAATGTACCCAGTGTGGAGACCCACGAAAGTGGGTGGTCAGTCGTGTTTCTGGATCCAACACAACATTATGACGGGTCTGAACAAAGACCTACAAGAGTGCGGAGCTCAATTCACAAGGTTCCAGCACAAGGGTACGGATCCTTATATAAAGCCATGTGACTGTAATTCTTGGATCTCATTGGATGCAATTGAAAAGACCTCTCACGTGAGTATCTCAGAAGTATCCTTGTCCTGGTGTGTCAACCTTGTGAACTGAGCCTATCGTCCAGCACACATTCCGTCCCTTTAGGGACGCTTCACACCAGACACAGTCCAGTGCATTTTTTTTCCTACATCAAAAACGCATGAATATTAAGTTAGATGGGTTCCAATGGCATAGTTCAATCTGAGCAGTGCATTCCAGCCCATTAAAAAAAAGTACACACTGCATTTTTTTTCTGCACTGAATTGTTCTGGAACGTGCCAAAATGCATCACAAATGCACTGGAATATGTTTTTGCCTGATATTTCTGTTGCTTGTTAAGAGGCTGGCACCTGCTGGCGTCCTAACAACCAGTGACATATCCCGGCTGTCAGCAGCAGTTATGAGTCATTGGTTGTTAAGAGGCCAGCACCCGCTGGCGTCCTTCTAACAACCAGTGACATATCCCGGCTGTCAGTAGCAGTTATGAGTCATTGGTTGTTTAGAAGCTGGTATCTGCTGGCGTCCTAACAACCAGTGACATATCCCGGCTGTCAGCAGCAGTTATGAGTCATTGGTTGTTAAGAGGCCGGCACCCGCTGGCGTCCTAACAACCAGTGACATATCCCCGCTGTCAGTAGCAGAGATGAGTCATTGGTTGTTAAGAGGCCGGCACCCGCTGGCGTCCTAACAACCAGTGACATATCTCCGCTGTCAGCAGCAGTTATGAGTCATTGGTTGTTAAGAGGCCGGCACCCGCTGGCGTCCTAACAACCAGTGACATATCTCCGCTGTCAGCAGCAGTTATGAGTCATTGGTTGTTAAGAGGCCGGCACCCGCTGGCGTCCTAACAACCAGTGACATATCCCCGCTGTCAGTAGCAGAGATGAGTCATTGGTTGTTAAGAGGCCGGCACCCGCTGGTGTCCTAACAACCAGTGACATATCCCCGCTGTCAGCAGCAGTTATGAGTCATTGGTTGTTAAGAGGCCGGCACCCGCTGGCGTCCTAACAACCAGTGACATATCCCCGCTGTCAGCAGCAGTTATGAGTCATTGGTTGTTAAGAGGCCGGCACCCGCTGGCGTCCTAACAACCAGTGACATATCTCCGCTGTCAGCAGCAGTTATGAGTCATTGGTTGTTAAGAGGCCGGCACCCGCTGGCGTCCTAACAACCAGTGACATATCTCCGCTGTCAGCAGCAGTTATGAGTCATTGGTTGTTAAGAGGCCGGCACTTGCTGACGTCTTACCAACCAGTGACTCATAACTGCTGTCTACAAAAACATAGATTGAATGTATATTTAAAGATAGTTGTCATATATTTTGTAATAAAAATGCATTTCAGCATACAGTGTATATATATATATAACATACTGAATATGGCCAAAGTTGTAGTATTTGGGAAGAATATTTTTAAAGTATATTTAAAATATATTTTTCTTCCATAGGTTGCCTTTAAAGCGGTATTAAACCCCAAACCAAACCTGTAATATAAGAGTACTGGCTGCTTTAGTTTTCTTTTTTTTTTAGGCTTTTTTCCAATTGGTTTTCACCTGGTGGCCACCACTCTGGAGGAAGGAGCACGGGGGGTGGAAACCTTTGGACAGCAGCACAGTCAGTCTGGGGCGGGGGCGTTTAGATGGACTAGCAGATTTAGATACACAAACAAATTGAAGCCAAAAGCCAGCTCATACTTTGTACTCAGTTACAGTAACAGATTTGTTTCTTTTTGGGATTAAGATTTTACATCAATAAATAAACGCTGATCATTGTAAGAACCCCTGTCAGTGGTAAATGGTTTAATCAACCCTCTAACTGCTACATCTCAAGGGAGCTTACTCTATTGAAAAACAACAGACTTACTGGCCGGATCATCAGGTGAAAATAGAGGAAAGAAAGCCTAAAAAATAAAACTAACGCAGCCGTCACATCTAAGAACTGGTAAACTACAGCATAATAATAATAATAATAATATAATAATAATAATTATCATTATTATTATTTATATTATTATTAGTATGTATTATATTATTATTATACAGGATTTATATTATTATATTATTATTATACAGGATTTATGGCGCCAACAGTTTGCTCAGCGCTGTACAATATACAGGGAGACAATACAGCAACAATACAGATCAATACAAGAGGGATAGGAGGGCCCTGATCCTGGGAGCTTACAATCTAAGAGGGAGGGGCTGATCCTGGGAGCTTACAATCTAAGAGGGAGGGCTGATCCTGGGAGTTTACAATCTAAGAGGAAGGGCTGATCCTGGGAGCTTACAATCTAAGAGGGAGGGGCTGATCCTGGGAGCTTACAATCTAAGAGGGAGGGGCTGATCCTGGGAGCTTACAATCTAGGAGGGAGGGGCTGATCCTGGGAGCTTACAATCTAAGAGGGAGGGGCTGATCCTGGGAGCTTACAATCTAAGAGGGAGGGGCTGATCCTGGGAGCTTACAATCTAAGAGGGGAGGGGATGAGCCTGGGAGCTTACAATCTAGGAGGGAGGGGCTGATCCTGGGAGCTTACAATCTAAGAGGGAGGGGCTGATCCTGGGAGCTTACAATCTAAGAGGGAGGGGATGAGCCTGGGAGCTTACAATCTAGGAGGGAGGGGCTGATCCTGGGAGCTTACAATCTAAGAGGGAGGGGCTGATCCTGGGAGCTGACAATCTAAGAGGGAGGGGCTGATCCTGGGAGCTTACAATCTAAGAGGGAGGGGATGAGCCTGGGAGCTTACAATCTAGGAGGGAGGGGCTGATCCTGGGAGCTTACAATCTAAGAGGGAGGGGCTGATCCTGGGAGCTGACAATCTAAGAGATGAATGTTTGCTCTTGGGTCTAATACTTGAGTTAGCAGATAAAAAGAAAATGCCCTATTTATTAATTCACTATTAAATGATTTTTATTTGAATGCAAGGCGCTGTAAGGATCTGGGTTTGACTGGGAACCGGCCCCTTGAAGTTACAGCAAAGCTTAGGCTGGCAGATAGAGAAGCATTACAAAAGAGGCCATTTCTTATTTTGCTCTTCACTGTTTTACTTTGTCTTTCACTGTCCAATCGCAGGCTGGAGGCGGGTCCATGACAGCCTGAGCTCAGAGGAAGTGGAACAGTGCTGTCTGTCATTCCACCTGGAAGACCGAGGACATCTACTGGCAGAAAATAAGTACTGCGACTCCAGATTAAAGGTCAGTATTACACAAAAGCTGCTTTTTTTTATTTTTCCTTTTATTGGTCCATTATTCTTTTATTACTGTTACTAGAGTTCTGTTTTTTTTTTTAAGCGACAATCTAATATAGGAAATAATTACAGAATCAAATACAGGCTAATGATGAAAAACAAAAAGGAAAAAACCAAAAAAGGTTCTCGGCACAAATTATTTTCGTTTGATATTTTTTTTTCAGGGGGTATCACTTTAAAGGAGGCGGCGGTAGACGGATTTGCAGAACAAACAGCGGTGTTCCCTTTGGACTGGTGGCAGGAATGCCGCATCAGCTCTTCTGTAGCCTTTTATGTATTCCGCGTGTTCTACACATGTCATAACGAGACCATGTGATGGCGCGGTAATTAATTAAAATGCTCGCGGTGAGGACCGGAGAGGTCAGTATTCCCCCCCCCCGTACCTTGACAGAGCGTGCTGACATCTGCAAAATGCTGTTTGTTGGGATTTCAGAAAAAAAAAAAAAGAAAAAAAGAAAATCCCTCACCTTTCAGGTTTACAAAGTGTCTCCAGAGAAGGAAGGAAACCTTGGAGCGATTCCATGGCCTCAGCGTTCCTAGAAGATCGTTCTTTTTCCTGGGATGAAGAAACATAGATGACATTTCTAGGTGATCACATGACACATGATTTAGTGCTCATATGCTAATGTCGGGTTCTTCCTGTGATATTGGGGTCACTCCCTAGTCCCAGAGAATCGTTGAAGACCAGATGGCTGTTCTGGGGATTTGTTTTCGATGTCTTATCTCCTCAATCTATAATGAGGTATTTGGGAGTCGGGAGGTCGGTCACACTGATTGGGCGTTCCAAGATCGCAGAAATGAATGGTGTGCTGCCTGTGAAATTCCGAAATGTTTGGGAGGGTTCTGCCTGACTACTGTCCAGGATTGGAGCTTAAAGCGGTTGTAAACCCTCCATACACCCAGTGATGTGACCTGGCTTCAGGTGATACACAGAGGTCAAACAAATCCCCCTACATAAGTTGTACCTATTTATCTGTATCCAGAGCTTTTTTTTTTTTGCAGTGGGATCATGGGGGAACACAGTTCTGGCACCTCCAGCAGAGGGTCTATTGATGCTATTGCTAGGCGATCTATTGTTGCTGCTGTTCTGTGTTCTCTCTCTAAGGGGCAGTACTGGGAGGTGGGTAGGGGCTGTAACCAAGGGACGATGCTCAGAGGTGGCTTCCACTTTGTTATAATCCCACTAACAGTTGAGCGTGGAATATTTAGTAAGCCAGGAAATGTCACGGATGGACTTATTGCCCAGGTGGCCACCTATCACGGGACCACGCTTGGAGTCACTGAGCTCCTGAGAGCGACCCATTCTTTCACCAATGTTTGTAGAAGTCGTCTGCATGCCTAGGGGCTTGATTTTGTACACCTGTGTCCATGGAGGGGATTGGAACACCTGAATCACATGATATGGGGGGATTGGAGCACCTGAATCACATAATATGGGGGGATTGGAGCACCTGAATCACATGATATGCAGGGGATTGGAACACCTGAATCACATGATATGCAGGGGATTGGAACACTTGAATCACATGATATGGAGGGGATTGGAACACCTGAATCACATGATATAGAGGGGATTGGAACACCTGAATCACATGATATGAAAGGGATTGGAACACCTGAATCACATGATACGGAGGGGATTGGGAAACCTGAATCACATGATATGGAAGGGATTGGAACACCTGAATCACATGATACGGAGGGGATTGGGAAACCTGAATCACATGATGTGGAGGGGATTAGGACACCTGAATCACATGACATGGAGGGGATTGGGACACCTGAATCACATGATATGGAGGGGATTGGAACACCTGAATCACATGATTGGGAGGGGATTGGAACATCTGAATCACATGATATGTAAGGGATTAGAACACCTGAATCACATGATACGGAGGGGATTGGAACCTGAATCACATGATTGGGAGGGGATTGGAACACCTGAATCACATGATTGGGAGGGGATTGGGACACCTGAATCACATGATATGGAGGGGATTGGAACACCTGAATCACATGATTGGGAGGGGATTGGAACACCTGAATCACATGATATTGAGGGAACACTGGAATCACATGATATGGAGGAGATTGGAACACCTGAATCACATGATTGGGAGGGGATTGGAACACCTGAATCACATGATGTGGAGGGGATTGGAACACCTGAATCACATGATATGTAGGGGATTAAAACACCTGAATCACATGATATGGAGGGGATTGGAACACCTGAATCACATGATTTGGAGGGCGGGGCCAATACTTTGGGCAATATAGTGTATCTCTCTCCTCCTTTTAGAGAAAGAAAACACGGGGACGGGCTGCACCATGACTGATTACTGTGATAGCCAGTCAGAAGCCATCACAGCGATCAGGTGACCCAGAAGTGGGAGTTCCTGGTCCTGATCCTGATCCTTGCTACAGGACCTGGGGCTCTCGGTGACATGCCAGACCCGTGTGGCATGCTCCCAGCCCAAAGACACATACACATATATGCAGCCTCATGTAAAAAAAAAAAATATCCCAGTCCAGTGGGGCTGCACATCAGTGCATGCTCGGCAGGAAGGGGTTATAGCACACCTCTCCCATAAAATGAATGGAAAACACATCACGGGTGTATGTTTGGTGTGTTCTTTTGAGTGAAATGTCCGTGTATCACAGGTGCATGCTGGGGGTCAGGCAACCAGACAACACACAGAAAACATAAATACGCAGCATGCATATTTCCTGCGTTTTGCATTGGAGCCGCATGAGAGGAACCTAAATCTTCTTGGAGAGGAGCAGCTTGAGGCTTCCAGTCCTCAGTACAACGTGACTGAGGATGAGGACTGAGGGATGACTGAGGATGAATGAGGATGAATGAGGATGAGTGAGGATGAATGAGGATGAGACTGAGGATGAATGAGATGAGTGAGGATGACTGAGGATGACTGAGGATGAATGAGGATGAGTGAGGATGAGTGAGGATGAGTGAGGATGAATGAGGATGAATGAGGATGAGTGAGGATGAATGAGGATGAGTGAGGATGAATGAGGATGAGTGAGGATGAATGAGGATGAGTGAGGATGACTGAGGATGAATGAGGATGACTGAGGATGAATGAGGATGAGTGAGGATGAGTGAGGATGAATGAGGATGATTGAGGATGACTGAGGATGACTGAGGATGAATGGGGATGAGTGAGGATGAATGAGGGTGAGTGAGGATGAATGAGGATGATTGAGGATGAATGAGGATGACTGAGGATGAATGGGGATGAGTGAGGATGAATGAGGGAGAGTGAGGATGAGTGAGGATGAACGAGGGAGTGAGGATGAGTGAGGATGAATGAGGATGGTGGTTACACTGCACCGCTGTGCTGTTATTGGTACCCAGTGCAATGTCAGGAATGCTGCACAGGTCAGGAGGACACTCTTCTCTCGGCTCATGGTCCAGGACACTTCTGAGGACAAGGAATGGCCAATATCTTAGACCCCATGAGAGCCGTCTCAGTCCCAGCAACCTCTGGCACTTATATCCCAAAAGGACACAGTCTCCCGGGATCACAATTCAGGCTCGTTACCCACAAGTCCCCAGGACAGCTGCCACCTTCCAGCTTTCTCCGGATACGGCCTAGCGAGTGAGACAGTTCCTCTCTAGACCAGGTCCTTTTGGTGATGTCCCTCAGTCAGTTCCTCTCTAGACCAGGTCCTTTTGGTGATGTCCCTCAGTCAGTTCCTCTCTAGACCAGGTCCTTTTGGTGATGTCCCTCAGTCGTTTCTATAGACCCTTCCTGGTGATGTCCCTCAGTCTCTGCCCCACTCTGCCGCCGAAACTCACAGAAACAACACCACAGTCCACAGGCTGCCTCAGGGGCAACAGCCCCCTGAGGCTTGAAACTCTCCTTCCTGGGGGAGGACAATGGGGTTGATTTACTAAAGGCAATTAGACTGTGAAAGGGCAGTTGCTCCGGAGCTCAGTAAATGAGGTGAAGCTTCCCTTTGCCAAGAATACCCAATCACATGCAAGGAAAAAAAAAACTGCATTTTTGCTTGCACGTGATTGGACGATGGAGGTCAGCAGAGCTTCTGCTCCTTTACTAAGCTCTGGAGTAACTGCTCTTGCAGAGTTCATATTCTAACCCCAATCTCTCCAGGGCTTCAGACTATTTATCAGCTTCCCCACCACCTCCTGGGCGCCCCTCCCCAGGGATTGACTAGGCCCCATCAATATTCAGGCTGTTTATATTGAATTCTCCCGCCCTGAGCTCTAGAAGCTTCTCCTTGTGACAGGGGGGAGCAATCAAACTGCCAGCCTGAGAGACCCGGAACAGACCAAACAATCACCCCTCCCTTGATTACGGAAGGAGCCAAGAATGTCATTTACCTAGAAACCTACGGTAGGTGGGCGCTACACACAAAGAAGGGGGCAGGGGGGGGGGGGGGGGTAAAGACCGAGTTTACCTAGCATCCTAGGGTAGGTGGTGCTACACACAAAGAAGGGGGCGGGGGGGGGGTGGGGGGGGTAAAAACCGAGTTTACCTAGAATTCTAGGGTAGGAGGGTGCTACAACAAATACCAAAGAAAACTAAGTTTACCTAGCATCCTAGGGTAGGAGGGCACTACACACAAATAAGGTGGGGGGGGGGGGGAGTACCTAATTCCTAGGTAGGAGGGCACTACACACAAATAAGGGGGGGGGGGGGCAAAGACCGAGTACCTAGCATCCTAGGGTAGGAGGGCACTACACACAAATAAGGTGGGGGGGGGGGGCAAAGACCGAGTACCTAGCATCCTAGGGTAGGACACACAAAGAAGGGGGCAGGGGGGGGGGGGGGTAAAGACCGAGTTTACCTAACATCCTAGGGTAGGTGGGTGCTACACACAAAGAAGGGGGGGGGGGGTTGGGGGGGGTAAAAACTGAGTTTACCTGAGAGTACCTAGCACCCTAGGGTAGGAGGGCGCTACACATACATAAGGGGGCTGGGGGGGGGGCAAAGACCGAGTACCTAGCATCCTAGGGTAGGAGGGCACTACACACAAATAAGGGGGGGGGGGGGGGGGCAACCCCAAGCAAAGACCGAGTACCTAGCATCCTAGGGTAGGAGGGCACTACACACAAATAAGGGGGGGGGGGGGGGGGCAAAGACCGAGTACCTAGCATCCTAGGGTAGGAGGGCGCTACACACAAATAAGGTGGGGGGGGGGCAAAGACCGAGTACCTAGCATCCTAGGGTAGGAGGGTGCTACACACAAATAAGGAGGGGGGGGGGGCAAAGACCGAGTACCTAGCATCCTAGGGTAGGAGGGTGCTACACACAAATAAGGAGGGGGGGGGGCAAAGTCCGAGTACCTAGCATTCCTAGGGTAGGAGGGTGCTGCACACACAAAGGGGGGGGGGGGGGCAAAGTCCAAGTACCTAGCATCCTAGGGTAGGAGGGTGCTACACACAAATAAGGTGGGGGGGGGGGCAAAGACCGAGTCCCTAGCATCCTAGGGTAGGAGGGTGCTGCACACAAATAAGGGGGGTGGGGGGGGGGCAAAGACCGAGTCCCTAGCATCCTAGGGTAGGAGGGTGCTGCACCAAAGGGGGTGCATGTTCGGTTTTGTACCCCTTTGGCGCATTGCCAGCCCTTTCATTTGCATAGTCTTCCTTAATGCAGAAAATGCCCATTAAAAGACACGGGGTTCTCCAACCCTCCAGGGGCCAAGGGCCACACGGCTCCCAAGCATTTTGTACACTCTGCTGCCCCCCTTGTATTGTGGATGTTTCTCCTGCTGATATTTAGAGTTTTCTTGGCATGTGTCTGTGAGAAATGGAGCCGTGTGGCCCCCGGAGAGATGAGGGAAGATAGAACCATATTAATATCCATTCAGAAGTCTTTCCGCTGGGCTGCCTCCATTAATAGACTTGTTTTCCGAGCTGCCCGCCGGGCCGTGCGTTCCTGGTTGTCCCAGCAGTCGGTAAAATGTGGGCTGAACTTACAGGTACAACTCACAGCTGGGGCCCCTTTATCCTGCATTCAGACGGTCCCCTCCGGGGGGCTCATGCTGCAGGGAATAAAACTGCCCGCTTGGCACAGACCCGGCGCAGGGCAAGAACACCGGCAATGGCTTCCTCTTCCAGATCACAAATCGCTTCTGGATTTTATACTGCGCAGAATAAATCCAAAGTTCTCCTTGTGTGACTGCAACATGGAACCGCAAATAATTAACCCCTCGCCCACCGGGCACCTCTACCCCCTTCCTGCCCACCGGGCACTTCTACCCCCTTCCTGCCCACCGGGCACTTCTACCCCCTTCCTGCCTACCGGGCTCTTCTACCCCCTTCCTGTCTACCGGGCACTTCTAACGGGCATTCTACCCCCTTCCTGTCCACCGGGCACTTCTACCCCCTTCCTGTCTACCGGGCACTTCTACCCCCCCTTCCTGCCTACAGGACACTTCTACCCCCTTCCTGCCTACAGGGCACTTCTACCCCCTTCCTGCCTACCGGACACTTCTACCCCCCCTTCCTGCCTACCGGGCACTTCTACCCCCTTCCTGCCTACAGGGCACTTCTACCCCCTTCCTGCCTACCGGACACTTCTACCCCCTTCCTGCCTACAGGGCACTTCTACCCCCCCTTCCCGCCTACAGGGCACTTCTACCCCCTTCCCGCCTACCGGGCACTTCTACCCCCTTCCTGCCTACAGGATACTTCTACCCCCTTACCTTCCTGCCTACTGGGCACTTCTACCCCCTTCCTGCCTACAGGGCACTTCTACCCTCTTCCTGCCCACCACCACACTTCTACCCCCTTCCTGCCCACCGGGCACTCCTACCCCCCTTCCTGCCTACCGGACACTTCTACCCCCTTCCTGCCCACCGGGCACTTCTACCCCCTTCCTGCCCACCGGGCACTTCTACCCCCTTCCTGCCTACAGGACACTTCTACCCCCTTCCTGCCTACCGGACACTTCTACCCCCTTCCTGCCTACCGGGCACTTCTACCCCCTTCCTGCCCACCGGGCACTTCTACCCCCTTCCTGCCTACAGGACACTTCTACCCCCTTCCTGCCTACCGGACACTTCTTTACCCCCTTCCTGCCTACCAGGCACTTCTACCCCCCTTCCTGCCTACAGGACACTTCTGCCCCCT